GTTCTGCCTATTCGGCACGACATTAATATATATATATATATTTAATTTTTGAAGTTTCTTCAAATGTCCAGAACTTAGTAAATCTCAAAGCAAATAGTTTAGCAGGAGCATCAATGATGCTTGATAATAGCATTTAATGGTTCTGAATGTCTGTTTTCTCGTGAATTTCAAGATTGGTCACGTGTTCGTTCTTAAGGTTTGGAAAATATTTGAACGTGTAACTGTCGAAAGCACGTTCATAAATTTCCAGTTTGACTTAAGTAGCTTTCATACCACCAGATGTAACACTGAGTGTTGCCAGATGTCTGTAATTTGATGCTCGTAGCATTTGTACCTGAGGAGAAATTTGCAAAAACAAAATCTGTTTACAAATCCACACAACATTGAATAATTCTTGATAAGAATTTTTTCTCTCTCTCTCAAAACACACGAATTTTATCCTTTCACTCAAAAAATCGTTTAAAAATAGTCTCGATTTATTTCACGAATAATGTACAAAAATATATCTGTGTATACTGAAGACACCTCGCTCAGTATATTCTGAAGCTTTTTTTCTTCTTCCAATTACACGCTGAAATATTTTATTTGGTAATAATTTTAAAGATTCTTCAGGTTTGTTAAGGTCAGCTCTTACAGTTTCCTAGTGTACAGTCCAGTGAGAGTGTCAGTGAACGTCCATCATACTTTCAAAAACTTATTTCGCTATCAGTCAGGCTGGATACGTCCCCGCTTGTCAAGAAACTATTTTCGAAAGGTCGTCCTGTTTGTTAGACCGTTTGAGTTCAAATGCCTTTCATATTTCAACTGCTGTGATATGTCAAGTGCTTCTCTTTTTTTTTTTTCCTTAGCCTTCCTCCACTGCTTCTACTATCATTACCACTACTATTACGAATACTATTACTACTACTACAATGACTACTTCTAAGAATACTACTTCGCTTCGCCTAACTCTCTCACTCTTGTGCCACTACCACTATTACTCCTACATACTACTACAAACATTACTACTACAACTACCACTACCACTATTACTCCTACATACCACTACAAACATTACTACTACAACTTCCACTACCACTATTACTCCTATATCCTACTACAAGCATTACTACTACAACTTCCACTACCGGCCTCCTCCATCCACTATTATCTCCACTTCATTTTATTTTTTACTTCCTCCCGTCCCTGTCCTCCTCTCGTATATATACTGGCTCCTTCCCTTCGGGCAGATTTCCAACTAAAACTATTAACTGACACATCTACCCTTGAAGATAAACACCCTCTCACCCGACCAATTACACTCAGAGATGTGCCACGTCATAGGCAGAATGAGAAATGAAGCTCATGGCCCCTTCAGGCATAACAGTAAAACAAAGTACCTGCTCCGAAGCTAGAGGTCTCTGGTAAATATCTTTATGCCATTTTGGACTCTGGACATTTCTCAGTGGCACTTAAGACTGCAAAGATTATATTTATTGCAAAGTGCAACAAAGACAAGCATAAACCGGAGAACTACAGACCTGTCTCCTTACTTGAAGTTATTGGCAAATTCATCTCCAATAGACTGAACTATTAAATAGGTTTCAAATACCTCTTCACGGAAAAGTAGTTTGGCTTCAGGACCCACTGAGGAACCCAACACGCTATGAATATTATTTTCGATGCTGTGGACAGCCTGAGGAGACAAGGCAATCTTGCCTTAATTGCAACTCGAGATTTACTCAAAACTTTTGACAACCTGTGGCACGATGGCCTAATATTCAAACTTGCCCATCTTCCGGACCACAACAGAACTTTCCTTAGGCTTATATATAACTTATGAGGAAGAAGCATCATTCCCACATTCAACGGAACTCTGGCAGAGGCATTCACACCAACAGCTGGAGTGCCACAGGGTTCGTGACTCAGTCATATACATATATACTCTTCAGTATATATGTATATGACCTCCCCCAACCTGAATTCAACGATACCATCATCACTCAGTTTTCTGACTGTTACCAATGTAGTTTCATCCACCCCTATATCTGGAAAAAAAAGGCACGTAAAGGCAATAGAGAAAATGAATGCCGAATTGCGAAAAACTACCCCGACAAGGTCCTCATCAGTACCATCGGATGTTTTGCCGCAGTTATCGAAAACAAGAGGAATATATCCATCAGAGTTACACCTGTCGCCATCAAAAACCCTAATAAGATCCCGGGATACGAGATTGATAGATTACTTCACTCAAAGTAAACTTAACAAAAGCCCACCTCTGTTAATTATACAGGTTTCATCCCCCCCCCATATATAGGTACCACACTGGCCATTTTCCACTTATCTGTAATAACTGGCACAGTGCCAGGTATGTTGAAAAGACAACCAAAGGTTTGTTAAGTTCTTCCTTACATTCCTTCAGAACCCTTGCAAACAGTTCATCAGGGCCCGGGTATTTGTTAGGTTTTAATTTATCTATTTATCTGAGAACCGTGTCACTAGTAACTTGAATCGTGTATAACTTATTTTCCTCCTGTTCTACCTAATTTATTATTTCTGGAATTTCGCGGCCTGGTCACAGACCGGGCCGCGGGATAATTGACCCTCGGGACTCTTTCCAGGTATACTCTCCAGTATCTTCCTATGAAAAAACTGAGAGAAGATAAATGTTAAAAATTCTACACATTTCTTTGTCACTGTAAGTAAGCTGACCCGAGTAGCTTTTGAGTGGGCCTATTTTGTTCCTAATTTTACTTCTATATATCTGAAAGAAACCTTTTGGGTTAATCTTCCAATCCCTTGTTACTTTAATCTCATATTCTTTTTGCTTTTATTCCCTCTTTTTTTTCTCTCTCTTTAATTGGAATATATTTATTTTTTTAACGGTCCATCTCCCCTTTTGATTCGCCTATAAATACCTCTCTTTTGTCCTATGAGATGTTTTAATCTAGTGTTTAGCCATTTAGGGTTTTAGGGTCATTTTTGTTTGATATTTCCCTGTTTGGAACATAAATAGTCTCAAGAGCTAGAACCTCTCTTTTGAAAAAAATGTTATCTCGGCAACCATTACCACCTATCTGGCCCGCTGTCAGGTCATTCCAGTTCAGTCCACACAGGTAATTTCTTTGTCCTATGAAATCGGCCAAGTGGAAGTCAGACTGATTTGATTGTAGTTATGGTGATTCCAAGACATACTGAGTAATTTGTGATAATTTTCACCAAGCTCATCACTAAGATTATTAGTGATTCCACGTTGGTGAGAACTAGCAGGTTATTTCTCTAGTTGGTTCTCTCATAAACTGTTTTTTAAAACAATCCTGAATATTAAGAAAGTCTCAAGACTCAAGATTTCATGTCAAATTGCTCCAGTCAATTTGACTAAAGTTAAAATCTCCACAATATTTTTGTATCTAGATGCCTTATGAATTTCATCCCATAGAAATTTACTGCATTCCTTGTCATGGTCTGGGGGCCTGTGAATCACACCCAAAATAGTTTTTGACGACCCTCAAAAAACTGTAACCATAGAGATTTTTTGTCCGACGTTTCTAATTTTATATCATGTCTAACATACATCGCCACTCCACCACCCTTCCTCTTGACCCTATCAGGGTGGAATAATTTAGAGCCTTGTATATAGCATTCAGAAGACATTTCTCTTTCATGTTGCACCTTACACTCCTACTTTTAGTGTAGTAAACCTTAAAGGAACTAGTCACTTGCTACCCTCTTCTATCACTATTTGTTTGCTGACCAATTCATTGCCCTTATTAGTAGCTTTTTGATGAATAATGTAATGTAAACAAATCCTTGAAGTATCCTGGTAGTTGCTGTTTTCATCCTTCGTGCTGCAACCTGTTTCCAACACATACTCATACCTGTATCGTCTAAATTTATAGTCCTAGACAAGTCAGCAACGGCCTCCTCGATCGAGTTGGCTAATGGTACCACGCCTGCCCCATAGAGATATAACCCATCCCTAGATACATATCACGTTTGCCATAGAAAATGTCCTAGTTGTCAATGAATGGGACTGCAAGTTCCTTGCAGTATCTGTCTAGCCAGCAATTTACACTATTTGCCGTAGACATCTCCTCATTGCCCATTCGCTTTCTAGTCAATATGCTACTTATGATCAGGACCCCTCAGACATAATTAAATCTATAGCTATCTTTACTTATCTAGCAGCTCCTGTCTCCTGTACTTCCCAATATCGCTTCCACTAGCACTGAGGCAGATAATGGGATTGTTCCCATTACCTGACATGATATTATCCAACCTGTTGACCATGTCACCAACAGAAGAGCCAGAGAAACACACCCTTTGTCTCACCTTCCTATCTCTGTTACAAAAAACACAGTCCATGTATCTTACCTGTGAGTCACCAACCACATGAACATTCCTAATTTTCTTATTAGAGGAGTTGGTGGTACCTTCAACCTCACTCACAACTGAAGTACATTAGTCCTGAAGAACAGAGAAGCGATTTCCTACCTTCACATCTCCTCATTTAACCTTATTTTGATGATTCTCCCTTGACTGGGAACCACTTCTCACGTGTAACGAATACCTATCTGCTCCTCACTACTGGTAACCTGTTTCCCTTCACTAAATCTCACATTCATTACCATACTTTAGGTGAACTTTAAGCCTCTTATTTTCCTCCATGAAAAGTAGAACGTCCTTCTTCAATATTTAGACCTAAGATACCAAAATCCTACAGACGAAAGCCATGGTACTGCTCTTTAACACTACAAATTAATCCACGAGACAGCTCAAGTCAGGAGTGATCACTCGTGATGCTGGTGCTAGCTACTATGATGGCTCTTGGAATCACGATTTTGTATGGAAACATATGAGGTGTTTTATTAAGGCATTACCCGTTGACGCTACCGATGTAAAATTAACAATGCTTCCCTCACAAGTCTTCATTGGTTTACTCTCCTTCGCTAGTACTAATGGGATGATGGACCAGTCGGGTCCCAGTTACCCATGCACGAAAAGTAATGGCAGAAACTTACGATAGCTTGGAGCGTGTTGCTAGCTACAGTGTACCCGGTGGCTGTCCCAGGTTAACTTGACCCCTGTGAGGCTTCTACTCAACGGTCACGTGCGTGAAGAGAATGGTACCTGCAAACAATTGTTATCTTAGTATATCTGGTTCAGGGCCTAGGATGTACTAGATTACTGGGCCTGTCCTAAGCTTGCAGTGGTATGACTTTAGTGATATATACAATTAGTAGTGTCCCTATGGTTAAATCACCGAGCAGGTACAACTATAACCTGGATACCTGGAGGTTACCTGGAGGTTATTCCGGGGATCAACGCCCCCGCGGCCCGGTCCATGACCAGGCCTCCTGATGGATCAGGGCCTGATCAACTAGGCTGTTACTGCTGGCCGCACGCAGTCCAACGTACGAGCCACAGCCCGGCTGATCCGGCACTGACTTTAGGTATCTGTCCAGCTCTCTCTTGAAGGCAGCCAGGGGTTTATTGGCAATTCCCCTAATGCTTGATGGGAGGCTGTTGAACAGTCTTGGGCCCCGGACACTTATGATGTTTTCCCTTAGTGTACCAATGGCGCCCCTAATTTTTATTGGGGGCATTTTGCATCGCCTGCCCAGTCTTTTACTTTCGTAGGGAGCGATTTGTGTGTGCAGATTTGGGACCATTCCTTCCAAGATTTTCCAAGTGTAGATTATGACATCTCTCCCTCCTGCGTTCCAACGAGTACAAGTCAAGTGCTTCCAAGCGTTCCCAGTAGTAAAGGTGCTTGACAGAACTTATACGTGCAGTAAAGGATCTCTGTACACTCTCTAGATCTGCGATTTCACCTGCTTTGAATGGAGATGTTAATGTACAGCAGTATTCCAGCCTAGAGAGAACAAGTGATTTGAAAAGGATCATCATGGGCTTGGCATCTCTCGTTTTGAAAGTTCTCATTATCCATCCTATCATTTTCTTTGCACGTGCGATCGTGGCACTGTTGTGATCCTTGAAAGTGAGATCCTCAGACATTACTACTCCCAGGTCCCTTACATTATTTTTTCGCTCTATTGTATGGCCGAAGTCAGTAGTATACTCTGTTCTAGTTATTATCTCCTCCAGATTTCCATAACGGAGTAGTTGGAATTTGTCCTCATTGAACATCATATTGTTTACCGTTGCCCACTGGAAAACTTTGTTTATATCATCTTGGAGGTTAACCGCGTCCTCAGCAGATGACAGCCTCATGCAGATCCTAGTATCATCCGCAAAGGATGATAAGGTGCTGTGGTGTATATCTCTGTCTATGTCTGATATGAGGATAAGGAATAAGATGGGGGCGAGTACTGTGCCTTGTGGAACAGAGCTCTTCACTATGGCAGCCTCAGATTTAACTCTGTTAACTCTTTGTGTTCGATTTGTTATTCCTTTAGCACGTATTTTATGGGCTATTACGCCATGATCGCATTTGTCAAATGCTTTTGCAAAGTCTGTGTATATTACATCTGCATTCTGATTTTCTTCCAGTGCATCCAAGGCCATGTCATAGTGATCCAGTAGTTGCGAGAGGCAGGAGCGACCTGCCCTGAACCCATGTTGCCCTGGATTGTGCAGATTTTGGGAATCCAGGTGATTTGCAATCCTGCTTCTTAGCACTCTTTCAAAGATTTTTATGATGTGGGACGTCAGAGCTATTGGTCTATAGTTCTTAGCTAATGCTTTGCTGCCACCTCTATGGAGTGGGGTTATATCCGTTGTTTTAAGTGACTGTGGAATTTCACCCATGTCCAAGCTCCTCCTCCATAGTGTACTTAGGGCACGTGAGAGGGGTTTCTTGCAGTTCTTAATGAAAACAGAGTTCCACGAGTCTGGGTCCAGGGCTGAGTGCATAGGCATGTTGTCAATGGCTTTTTCGAAATCTATTGGAGTTAGGGTAATGTCGGAAATCTGGCACAACATTTATGGAGTTTTGAGGCTAATTCATGAAGAAATCATTTGGGTCGTCGATCCTCAGACCGATTAGTGGTTCACTAAACACAGAGTCGTACTGGGATTTCAATATTTCACTCATTTCCTTGTTGCCATCTGCGTAAGTCCCATCCTGTCTGAGTAAGGGCCCGATACTAGATGTGGTATTTGCCTTGTTTTTGGCATATAAAAAGAAATATTTTGAATTTCTTTCAATTTCACTAATAGCTTTAAGCTCCTCCTGCCTCTTCTGGTTCCTGTAAGAGTTATTTAACTTAAGTTCGATAGTTTCCACTTCCCTGGTCAGCGCCTCCTTTCGTGTATTAGATATTCTAGCACTCCTGAGGAGCTCAGTGACTCTTCGTCGTCTTCTGTAGAGGGAGCGTCTTTCTCTCTCCAGTTTACTCCTGCTCTTCTTCTTTCTTAGGGGAATATGCCTAGAACATGCTTCGGCTGCCAGGAAGTTGATCCTTTCAAGGCACTGGTTTGGATCCATGTCATTTAAGACATTTTCCCAACATGTTTCGTTTAGGACATGGTTTACCTGGTCCCAGTTGATGTTCTTGTTGTTGCAGTTGTATTTTGTGAAGACACCTTCACAGGTACATGCATTCTGCTGATCAGGACCCCTATGCATGTACGTCTGGACTTCGATTAGGTTGTGATCGGAATTAGTTGTTTTTGATATTCTTATGTCTCTTATCAGGTCCTCATTATTTGTGAAGATAAGGTCAAGTGTGTTTTCTAGTCTTTGTTGGCCCCACTATCTGCTGGCTTAAGGTGTGTTTTTCGCAGAGACTTAGTAGCTCATGTGTGTGTGTGTGACCTTTCATCTGCGCTACCTCTGGGGATTATTTCGGCTATAACATTATTTGCTACATTCTTCCATTTTGTATGCCTTAGGCTGAAATCACAAAGCAGTAAGATGTTTGGGGATGGAGCTGGAAGGTTTTCCAAACAGTAATCAATTTTCAGTAGCTGTTCCTTGAACTGTTGTGAGGTTGCATCTGGTGGCTTGTATGCAACCACAATGACTAGGTTTTGGTTCTCGATCTTTATTGATAGAACTTCAACTACCTCATTTGTGGTGTTCAGCAACTCCGTGCAGATAAGGGACTCTGACATACAGGCCAACCCTCCCCTTGTTGCCTGTTTTTTCTGCCGCATCTAAAAAAGGTTGTAACCACTTATCCATATTTCACTGTCAAAGTGATCTTTTGTGCGAGTCTCTGTGAAGGCTGCAAACATTGCATTAGAACTTCCTCTAGAAGTCCACTGATAAAAGGTATTTTGTTGTTGGTGGATGGCTTAAGGCCCTGTATATTAGCAAATATGAACGAGGTTGTATTCTGTGTTTGTTGGGAGGATTTTGTTATTGGCATCAGCAGTTGTAATTCTGGAGGGCCGTGGGTGGCCACTGGCTGCACCTCCAGTCCAACAAGGCTCCAAGGTGGTGGACTATTTTTATTTCCTTCCATTTTCTTTTTCCGTTTCCTGCCACTAAAAAATCACCTGGAGTTGGGTTGTCGTAGCTACTATTTTGTTTGTCTTGTGGGGTCTGTGCCTCCTGGTCCCTTTTAGATGGTATGCAGGGCAGTCGATATTGTAACACTGCTTCTGGAGGACCGAGGAGTGGCACATTTTTGGGTGAAAGAAAGTACAGGAAGAAGAACGACACACTCCTTTAGACAGGAGGTCGCTATATTTTTTGGGATGCTCAAAGTTGCATGTCCCATTTTTTTTCCCTGTTATTCCATGCTTACAGATGCCCCAAGCACAAATTCACCTTTGGTTGAGAATTGTTGGGAGGTGTGTTGTCAATTTCTGCAGGTTCTGGGACTGCACTATAATACTCAGTATCCAAGCCAGGGCCACCCCGTCCTGGATTCCATCTACTTTCCCCAGTAGAGGAAGGAGGAGGAGACTCCTCTCCAACATCTGTACTGTGGGCCACGGTCTTGTGCAATGATGGTTGTATATTTACGGTTTTAGTGGTGGTTGTGGTAGGGTCCCTGGTAGCGTCTGGGCTGGCAGTAAGGCTGGGGGCTGGGTCTGAGTCAGCACTGGGGCTGGGGGCTGAGCCTGGGCCAGTGGCTGGGCCTGGGCCAGCACCAGCACTGTGGGTATTAGTGCTATGACTGGGGGATGGGTCTGGTTTAGCACCATGTGGGTGACTAGATAGTTTCGAGTCATCTGTTGTGGTATGAGCACTCTGCATTTTTTGATACACTATCTCTTGCTCCCATGTTTTATATATTTTTGGTAGACTATCCAAGAGGTCATCTTTGTTTTCTTGATTATTTTTATCATTTATTACTCTCCTTAGTACCTTTCTGATACCTGCCCTAAGTTCTACATCTTTATTGCACAACCAGAAGCACCTTGCTAGTTCGAGGTCATTTTTTGAGGCTGTATTTAGTCTAGTACAAGAGATATGGTGTTTGGAAGAGCATAGATTGCATGTGATTCTGGATTTCCTTCCAAGGATTTTTTTTACATGTCCCACAGATATGCTGTGCTGACATCCCGTCTGTATCCTACTACACTCTGTATGCCACGGAAGAAAACTGATTTCCACTTTACCTTTCTCTTGCTGGTGCCAGTAATATGCAAGATGTATTTATGCAAACCAAGTTTGCAGTATGTGGGTGGTGGTGTAGGGTGGGTGGTGGTGTAGGGTGGGTGGTGGTGTAGGGTGGGTGGTGGTGTTGGGTGGGTGGTGGGTGAAGGGTGGGTGGTGGGTGAAGGGTGGGTGGTGGTGTTGGGTGGGTGGGTGGTGGGTGTAGGGTGGGTTTGAGCTGGGCAGGACTTACCCACACTTCACTATTATTTTTATTATTATTATTATTTAAATTCCTTTTAAGTAGTGCTGTACACTGTTTATCTCAAGGATATACACTGTATTCTTTCAAAATACACTTTTCACTGCGCTATACTGGGATCATTGTTTTATTATTTACACAGCAGCTAGGCCTACGCTAACTTTCCCCTACACTTCTAAGGAAAAGATTATTTCCTGTTTAGTAGAGGTAACGGTTGTATGCTCAATTTATGTATGCTGTGATTCCCTGCACCTCAATGCTACCACCACTTCTTATCTCTTATGACTGTAGTAGTTACTTATCCGTTATTAACACTTCACTGGACCTCTGGCAA